AGGGTCAGATCATCAGGTCATCTGGTTCACTACAGTCCCCCCTTTGGTCGAAGAAGAAACCGTTACCTTGTTGACGATAGATCACCTCAGTAAGAAATCTTTCAGACTGATATCAGCGTCTCCGTTGAGAACAGCTAAAATCCTTGGAGAGTCGTGCGTGGTTAGTTCAAAACAGAATTATAATCCCAAAACGTCTCTGGATTCTCAGCAACTCTGACTCTTCATTGTCAGCAGCTCTCAGACTCTTTCAGATCTTCTGGAACCGACTGCCCTCTATGAATTCCCATGAATTCTCTTCAGAACTCCTTGAGCACTACATGAGAACCGCTCCAGAACCTCAGAACTCCTTGAGAACTCACTGCACTCCATGGAATCTACTGCACTCTATGAATTCCCCATGAATTCTCTTCAGAACTCCTTGAGAACTAACTGCACTCCATGGAATCTACTGCACTCTGCGAGAACCGGGAAGTTGTCACATTTTAAATGAGTTTACTTCCGAGTTTACTTCAGAGCTTTCTGATTCGTGGATGGACCAGAAAGAGGAGTGGTTTTGTGACGTAAGATGTTATCTAAGCCAAGGTCAGAGAATGAGATTGTTTTAACAACTGACAGAGAGATTATTGCAGGAGAGCAGACTTCGTGGAGTCAACTCTTGGTAATCTTCTGAAAAAGTTTAAACATGACATCTTTCTCGGTAAACATTTTAGTTGACCGAAAACCAACCTTTCACATACTTACGACTTGACTCATTTCAGACAGAAAATCAAGAAATGCATATTCAGGTGATTTCTTCTTTGAATGAGGAATAAAAATCATTACTTACTGTTTATGTAAAATAAAAATGAGTAGTTCTTTTCAACCTGTAAGCATTGAGTGAAACTAACACAATTTGATTATCAAAACATTTGTAAGACAGTAATGATTATAGAGGATTGTCTTTTCTGCTTGATTAATTCAAGAAAGAAAGTCATCAGATGGCTCAGACTTATTCAGATCAATGAAAATAACAGTCTCTGTCCATCTGGTAGATTTGAGGTCATCAGGGTCAGATAAGGGTCAGATCATCAGGTCATCTGGTTCACTACAGGAGGAAACTGGAGTACCCAGAGAAAACCCACGCATGCACGGAGAGAATATGCAAACTCCATCCAGTAAGGTCCCCTGGCCAGAATTTGAACTGGGGCGACCAGCTTGCTGAGAGGCAGCAGCTCTACAAACTGCGCCACTGTGCTGCCCAGAAATAATAATAAAATGATAATAATAATAATAATAATAATAACAATAATAAAAATACAGTAGTCCCTCGATACTTTGCGGTTCGTTTTTCGTGGACTCGCTCTATCGTGGTTTTACAAAGTAAGATTGGACATGACACACAATTGGCTGACTGAAGGATGAGCTGCACGTTCGGCATGTTATTTTTTATTTAAAATTGAATATTTAAAAAAATTATCACCTGCTGCACCGCTGTGCAGCCCACAGCTGCAGGAGAAGCTTCCTCCTGCACCGTGTCAGGATCTCCATTCTGCATCAGAGAAGTGGGCGTGGCCGAGAGCGCTGGCAGGTGGCAGGGAGCTGAAATCATGACATGCTGTGCTCTTTTCGAGCGTTTAGAGTTTAGAAACATTGTTTAGAATATTGCAAGAGTGTGGGAAGAGTTTAAAATGCCTTAATAAATATTTATATAAATACTAAAATAAACTACTACTTACTACTGGGCAGCTGTGGCTGAGTGGTTAGAGCATTCGTCCTCCAAGAGTTTGGGGTTCAATTCCACCAGCAGTGGCATGCCAAAGTGTCCCTGGGCAAGACACTGAACCCCTCATTGCCTCCAATGTGTGTCCCATCAATGTATGAATGTGATAAAGCTCTGATTATTCTTTGTATAGATCTAGTAGAGTGCTGTGTGAATGGGTAAATGAGGACAAAGTTTGTCTTGTAAAGAGCTTTGAGTGTCTTGATTAAATAAAAATGTGCTGTATAAGTACAGTCCATTTACCATTTAGTTGTACTACTATTCCTACTTTACGGTTTTTCACTTATCACGGGGCTTCAGGGTATGGATCCCCCATGATAAATGGGGGATTAGTGTATTACAAAACTAGTCCAGATCCTCCTATTCTCATTGCTAAAGTGACCATTAGAGTAAACCATCAACATCGGGACAGATGCCTTAGTAGGTACAAAGAGCATTAAAGTCAGTATCGGTACAACGTTTTAGAAATGATTACTTGTCTTAATTTTAGACATTTTAACAATCCTTGCATTGCTAAGGTACACAATCAAGCAAAAGATTAAATGTTTTTGTGTAAAATCCTAAAAAATAACGTAATAACAAAACGTTGAATGCTAAATACTGTTCTGAACTTTATACTGTAGTTACGTTGATACAGCAAACACAATCAATGTTACAGCCAACACAACAAACAAACGCAGTATCTAGTCAAGATAACAAATAAAAAAAACGGACTTTGCATAAAAATTGTGCAATAAACAAGTTATATTATGTATTTTTATTTTATTCAATGTGCATAAACCTCTAGCAGTAGACAGGTAGAGTGCCCGCTTGGAAGACATTTTTTGTTGATTGCTAACCTGAGAGGCAAATTAAAGTTAGGCACAATCAAGCATTTTAGCTCAAATACTTCTAGAAAGCGTACTAGGAATTTGATCTCTTTAGTCATTCTTGTTTCTTATTTGTGATCCTGAAGTAACTAAATCTATATTCACACATATGTTTAAAGGGTCAACATCCTTTCCAGCTGGCTAAGAAGTAGCGTTCCAAAACATCTCCTTGAAGCCACAGAGAGGAAACTTGAAGATATCTGAGACACCTTTGAGTTGAGACACCAACCTAGAGATGGTATTTCAGGATTGTTCCAGAAGGCTGGACACAAGACCTGTACTGGGTCTTTGGTGAGCTGAAGACTGGATCATCATCATCATAGCAAGTCACCTGAAGACTGGAAGGGATAACCACCATCATCTCATGGACATACTGGTGGGCTGGTGGAGTTCATTTAAATGCATTCACTTGGATCTGTTGAAATCGTAGTAATTCTAGTAAGATCAAGTTGCTGTTAGTTGTGTTTTGAGCAACATCGTTATCGTAACTGTGATAAAGACATTCAGAGCAGCTCACAGATCAAACAGATGCCACACGTTTCCATGAAAAACCAAAGAAGCAAACATGATTCCTTCTTGATATGATCTGACTCACTGCCTTTTCAAAAAGAAATCCCTTTACGTGCATCTATGGCATTTTATTTGAATGTTTGTGCAGTATGGGAGATGTTTCAAACCAACATCATGCTTCATGCCTGGTGAGTTATTTGATATTTTGACTTGTTTTGTGGTGTTAAAAAGCACCATGTTCTAATGCTGTATTTGTAATTATTGTACAATATACTGTATGTATAAAAGTACTCAGTCTGTGTAAATAGCCTGCATTGATTTATATAAAAAAGGTTTTACCTACTGAATAAGCAACAACTTTCATACGCTGGTAATAATGAAATGACTGAGATGATGGTTTTTCTTTTGTTGACCTTATGTTGTTAAAACTTTACAGCTCTCACATTAGTATCCTTTTCAGATCTAGTTTCTGCAACAAAATCAAATTCAACAAGGCTCATTACGCAGACATTTTTATATTCCACATAATAAAATGGTAAACTAATGCAACAAAACACTGATTTGTTAAAGAACTGTGTTTCTAAAAATGCAGGAAAACCTTAAAATGCTCTTCATCAGTGATTTACATAAAAATTATGAAAACAACAAATTGATGTTTTATATAAAAGCAAATGCACTGAAGCATTCCTTATGTCAGACTGACAGCTGCCAAGTAACCAGACCTGAGTCAGAAGGATATATTTTTCTTTTTATAATTTTTTAAGTAGTTTTCCAGTTTCTTGTCGAGTGGTTTGATTGTGTAAACACATAACGTTTGTTTTTATTCTTATTTAAATGTAAATTTTACAGATTTTTACATTTTGAAAAGATAACTGTTGTGGGGAAAGAGATTTGATCAATCTTCATTAAATAAGGTTTTGTAAAGGTTGTTTTTAACAGCTTTTTATTTAAACGAGAAGCAAAATACATCACGCTCTGTTTTGTCTTGTGAATTTTGTTTTCTTTATTAGATTGTTTTTTTATTTTTAATGTTCAAATCTTTCACCACTTCAACAGGTTTGTTTAGAAAGATTTAGAAGTTTAACTTTATTGTAATTTTTCTATTAGTGCTAATGAATGCAATCCTGAACAGAAATGTTTTTTTATATTGTAATTTTTGCTTCCTTAAAAGCAATTTTTCATTTATTAGTTAAGTTATTAACAAAACTCTTTTTTTTTTTCAGCTGCTACAGCAATTTTACGCTCAGTCTTCATACATCTGGCAACTCAAAACACTTGTTTCTTATAGGTTCAGTCCTTATGACGAATAGCTGAGGCCTGTTTAAGTACTGCTGGTGTGCAGTTTTTGCTTTAGGCTTTGCATTCTGTTTTGCATAAGTCTGAAACCTTGACTTGGTTTTCTTTGCATTGACTCATCTAGTTTTTAATTTAGAGAATAACTGAGAACATTTTGTGAGAATGAGCCATCATATAGTTGACTGTATAATTTTGGATTTCAGTTCAAAATGCATCATTACTGTATATTTTAAATGGTCATGTACAACAGTTATTGTAGCAGCTCTTCATTCAAATGAAGGCCTGACTGTACTCCACAGGAAAGGTGCACAACATAAGGCATGCTGTCTGTGTATGGTCAGAGGTCTGGAGCTTTATGCCAGGACATTTGGGTGTGTTGTTATAATCATAGAGCATGTGGAGTCATGTTGTCAAGACTGTTCTGCTGTGTAGGCAGAAATTTGCAATGTCTTGAGTACAACTTTGTGTATTTAGTAAAGTGTTAGTACATGAGGCTGATTGGTTGATATTTTCAGGCAAAGGCCAGAGTGAGACCATTGAATCACATACCTGTACTTGAATTCTGAGGCTTGAGCCCAGGTTCTGGCAAAACATCTACCAAATTTTCGCCCTATAAGTCACTTTTTTTTTTTTACATAATTTGCATGCACTGCAACTTATACAGTGAAGCGACACATTTATGGATAATTTTTCCATATTTATAAACCAATTTTTGTCTGAGATATGACAGGTTTCGTTCATTCTTACCAAAAATATTGAACACTACCATTTTCAGCCACTACATGGCGCTCGAGTTGTATGGCATGTCGTTGTGTCATGGAATAGGTAAAAGTGGCTATTAATGACACAATTGGCTTGCCGTCGCCTGCCACCTTTGTCCATCTTGCTTGGAGCATCTGTCAAACCAGTTTAATTTTGCTGCGCCGCCCCAGCGAAGTGCAGCTGATTTGAGCAGTAAAGTGCATTTATTAAGTAAACGTTAAACTGAGACACACTTTCGCTATAATTTCGAGTAAACAAATAATTGTTTTTAAGTGTTAATCCTGTTAAATTCTTATTAAAGTCCTCCCTTGCATGCTCCTGTGGCCGACATTGGCAGCCAATTGATTTTTGGTACAACACCGGCCCACATTTTCGGGTTGTCACATGTAACAAACGTGGCGCATCAGCGGTAACGCATAATAGATGTGACTTATACGGCAAAGTGACGTATTTATGGATTTTTCCACTTTATTAGACAAATATGGACTGATGCGACTTATAAAGCAATGCGATGTGTAGGGCGGAAAATATGGTACACTCATTTTGCTGTCAAGCTTGTTAGACCCTTCGAGCAGGAACGTGCACTTTAGAATGGAGGCAATCAGAGACATGTAGAAGTGTGTTTGGTGGATATGTCAGTGTTTTGTCAAATTGTGTTTTCCCACCAAATTCGTTTTGATTCCCCCTGAACCACAATTGTTTAAAGATTTTTTTTTCCAGTTTTTGTTAATTGTAGCTGAGGAAACGCCTCATGATGACTGAAAACTTACAAACCAACTCTGCAAAATTTTAGACTTTGTGTAAAATGTAAATAAAACCAGAATGCAATTATTTGCAAACCTTATAAATACATTGTGTATTCACAATAAAACATAGTTAACATATCAAATAATTAAGATATTGCACCATTTAAAAATAATAAGGCAGCTTAGAATTATTTGACAGCAGCACATCCAGAGAAAGTTGGGACAACGTCATGCTTACCTTTGTGAATCATCCCCTCCTTTTAACAACAGTCTTATGAACATCTGGGAACTGAGGAGACCAGCTGTTGGAGTGTTTGGAGGGGAATGTAGTCCCTTTCTTGTCTCATGTAAGATTCTAGCTGTTCAACAGTCTCTGCTGGATTTGTTGCATGATGCACCAAATGTTAATTAGTTAGAGGATTGGACTGGAGGCAGCCCAGTTCCCCAGCTGGACAACAGTCATGCTGTTGTACTGAATGCAGTATGTGGTTTAGAATTATCTTGCAGAATTATGCAAGTCTTCCTTTCAAAAATATGCCATCTGGATATATTGTCCTAAAACTTTTCTGCATTACAAGATGTATTTCTAGATTTTACATTTAGCTTCAGAATGGACTGAGGCTCATTTAAAAGAGCTTTGGTCCAGAGAAGACAGTGACTTTTCTGGATGGTGTTATGGCTTCTTCTGTGCACGATAGAGCTTTAACCAGCAGTTGTGGATTGCACAATGAACTATGTTTATAGATGATTAGTGGAATAGTTCCTGAGCCCATGCAATGATTCTCAGAACTGGGGTTGTATTTGTCAAATACGTACACCTGAGTGATGATCTAATACACAGATTTTTATTCTTTTATGCTGACAATTGTACATTTTAGCAGGGGGGGGGGGGGGGGCACTCTGACAGTTGCAAATCTAATATACTTAGATTGGGGGACATGTCCCAACAAGAGACCAGAATTAATTTGAGGACCTCAAAAACCTATTCAATTTTAGTAGCCAGAAACATAGGTTATCATTTTATCTTGTAATTACAGCAGTTTAAATCTTTTTTTTTTTTTTTTTTTTTTTTTGCTGAGCTGGAGACTATTTCTTCTTTATTTTAGAGGAAATTTTACATGTTTCAACAAGAATAACAACATTGCAATACAATAACTAAAGAAGCTTGTTGTACGACACGAGAGACAAAAGGTTGTGATGTTCTGATGTAAGCTGCATGGACTTACACTACTGGAGCGTTGAAACTGTTTTATACAACCTCACTTTGTTCACTAGTCCCTGTCACTGGCCTCAGCAGAGTTGTCTATACATTCATTAATCTGGACAAATGTGTTAATCAGAGTTGCTTTAGTAATAAATACATTTAGAGAAAATCGAATTAACAACATTTTTCTATGAGCCCCATACTTTTAACATAAGCATCTCAAAGTCACTTAGCAAAAAATATAGTGTAACTACATTTTCCAAGTAACATCTCATTAAGTTGAAGCTGAAATTTAAACTAAACACAATATTTGATACAAACCATGTTCTTCTGCCTCAACATATTGTTTGGGTGTTTACAGGAAGAGGTACATGTTGTTTCTTTGTTTTGTTCCTACTTCTTTCAAGAAGTGTTTTCATACATATTTGAAGTCTTGTTTGAAAAAAAAAAACTATTTGTACAGAAAAATAAAGAGCTTTCTTTTTTGTTTGTGAAAGTACAACCCCTGATTTAAGATGTTGATGTAGGATATCTTTTTTTAAGATTAAAATGTCTGAAGATGGATAAGTGGGCATTATGAAAAATGTGCATGCTACTGTTTATCCTGTATGAAGCATTATTTAATTTTTCATACTGATGAAATATTAAGAGACTTGTTGTCTATTTCTTTCCTGCAAAGCCAGTCTGCCTGATGAATGACTTTTGTGACGATATCTGCACAGTTCTGCTATTTAGCTGA